ATGGATGGATGGATGGATGGATGGATGGATGGATGGATGGAGGGAGCATGGCCTTTTCAGCCAGTGGTCATTTGGGTTCTGGGTCCTCAGTACTGCACAAGGGACCCAGGAAGGGAACAGGAAAGGCTCTGTTCATAGAAACTGGGCCCTGAGTTCCACAGGAGCAACTGAGACACTAGCCAGACCAGTTCTGGGGTCTAAAGTGGAGAACCGCTTCATAGTCACATGCGAGGCGAGACCCTGCTCTGGTACCATGACATAAGACCAGATGGTGGGGCTCTAGCCCTGAGCCTGATGATGGGGATCTCAAGCCCACTGTGGGGAAGTGGGTAGGAGGTTGACACAGCCATGCAGACAGCTGTGGTGCTGTCACCATGGTGCCATGAGATCTTGGGCAAGTCACATGCCCACCCTGACCTTCAGTCTCTTCATCTAGCTCTGACTACAGCTGTGGTTATTTTTGAGGCTCATGGGACATGATGCCTGTGGAAATGACCCCAGCATCCACCTCTCAAGTGTCTGTACAGGTAACATGGTTAGGCTTTCTGTTCCTGGCTTCCAGAAGTCTACAGGAGGCTCCTCGTCTCCTTCCTACTGGGAATACGCCCTCTGAAATGCCTCCTACTGTCACTTCCTCTTGGGCAGGGCTCACTCCTGCCGGGCCCTCCCTCCATGATGGGCCATGAAGGGCCCATCATAAACCCCTACTAGTGGCTCTCCCTCATTGCTGGTTAGCACTCAGACCTGTCCGCTACCCTGGGAGCAGAGGCCCCACCCATGGGCATCTTCCTCCAGAGGGCCCTCGCTGTTTCTCATGGGCAGGGTTCAAGGGCGAGAAGGACCATTGGCGGAGCCGGCGCACCATCTGCGTGAAGACCCACGAGAGTGGCAGGAGGGAGATCGAGATGTTTGACTCTGCCATCCTGCTCATCCGGAACCCCTATAGGTCTCTGGTGGCTGAGTTCAATAGGAAATGTGCCGGGCACTTGGGCTACGCAGCTGACCGTAACTGGAAGAGCAAAGGTAAGGGGGTACTGTGGGGGTGGTGTGTTGTGTGTGTCTCATCATTGCAGTGGGGTGGAGGGATATGCTGTGGGGATCCAGGACTAATCCAGTGCCTTCTGACACCGTGGCTCACTGCGGCCCTTCCTGCGCTCATAGAACTTGGGTGGCTGCTAGATGGTAGGCTGAGATCCACTCAGCCACTCTGGCGGTGCAGCTCACCTCCTCCCCACCCCTCCCCACCTGCCCAGGTTCTACAGCTCCTTCCTATCTCTGTGGAAGCACAAGAGCTTTAGATACGGGTGGGCCTGGGTTTTAACCCCCAGCTACCTGTAGGCCCTGGGTCCTCATTCATAGAATCAGACAGTCATCTCAGTAGGTCAATAACCTAGCTTTTGTGGGAGCTTCTGTGTCCATGACCAGCACCCCAGGTGTGAGCACGTGCTTAAAATGCTAGTGGAGCCCCTAGGTGGTACACATGGGGAAGGTGCTCAGCCAGTAACTAACCTAAAGGCTGGAAATTGAAGGCCACCCAGGACGTCTCTGTAGTAAGACTGGTGATTTATTTCCCAAAGAATCGGCTACTGGAGAACCCGTGGTACCCCTTTCTCAGCTGTCCCACTCGGGGGTCACCAGGAGGCAGCTGGTTCTGGTTAGTGTTTGTTTCTCACGTGTGTCCTGCTGGGGACTTGCCATCACTGCTACTCTGCAGCTGACAAAGTAGAGGCAGGGAGCGCTTAGCCATTGACTTGTCCCAAGGTGGCCTGCCTGGTGTGTGACTGAGCCTGGACTCCAGCGCCGATGTTCTGATCCTCCATGGTCCCCACTCAGACAGTCTTCTTTCAGTCGGTCTGCTTCAAACTTGGGGGCGGGAGGCTTCCTGTGTGCCAGGCACCCAGACAAGGCTCAGAGGACACACACACCCCACACACACCCCCACACCCCCGTAAAGAAGGCACGGTCTCGGCCCCCAGGCACTCTAGCGCTTTTTCCTTTCTGGCGATGAGGAACGGTAGCGATGAGGACTGCCTGATAGCTGATGCAGAAACAGATGTGTCCGAAAGAAAGCTCAGCCCAGGCCGGCTTGGTGGGGAGGGAGAGGAAGCCGAGGGACAGCCTCGAGGCTGGGCAGGTTGCTTCTCCTGGTTCTGGAACAGCAGAGGCAGCTAGGTACCCTCAGCCAGCTTCCCAGGCCCCCCTTTCCCATCACCTGCAGCCCTCTCCTGTCTCCCTTGCCGACTCCCCTTCAGAAGAAGCTCTATAAACCCATGGACGGGGCTCACCCCCCGACCAACCAGCAGACCTGGGCTTGTAGTGTCTCCTCTGCCTATGAGCCACTGGCTCCCACACAAGGTGCATAGTTCTTCTGCAACTTCTGTTTTCTCATCATAAAAACAAGGTTAAAGACCGCCCTTTTATGCTACCGTAGTGTGTTAGGGGCTGGGGGACGGAGGTGGTTTCAAGGCGTGATCGCCTGGCCTTTCTTCCGAGTCACAGCTGGGTGCGTCTGGACCACAGACAGGAGAAACCCCCCTCTGGCCGCAGCTGCGGTCCCTCTCTTGACCTCCGCCCCCCCTCTCCCCGCCCCCACAGAGTGGCCGGACTTCGTTCACAGCTACGCGTCCTGGTGGTCGTCGCACGTGCTGGACTGGCTCAAGTACGGCAAGCGGCTGCTGGTGGTGCACTACGAGGAGCTGCGCGGCAGCCTGGTGCCCACGCTGCGGGAGATGGTGGCCTTCCTCAACGTGACGGTGAGCGAGGAGCGCCTGCTGTGCGTGGAGAGCAACAAGGAGGGCAGCTTCCGGCGCCGCGGCCGGCGCCCCCACGACCCCGAGCTCTTCACGCCCGAGATGAAGGGCATGATCAACGGCTACATCCGGACAGTGGACCAGGCCCTGCGGGACCACCACGGGGCGGGGCTGCCCAGAGAGTACGTGCCCAGATGATAGGTGCCCCGCCCCGCCCCTGCCAGGACGGCGCCACCGCACAGGCCCTGCGCATGGCGAGAGGCTTGGGGACCCGGAGCAGTGTCGGAGCAGTCCCGATGGAGGGCGCGCTGTGCCCGCGCGGCCTGAGATAACGCTCAACTCCACACACGCAGACACGCTTCACACCCAGAGCGCGGGTGGGCACAGGGGGACGCGTTGCCCGTGCTCAGGATGCCCGTGTAGGCACAGCTCAGCCACGCACAAAGGGTGTTGTGCCCGAACACTGAGTGAGACCCACCCTTGGACTCAGTGCCATGCCGCGGAGACATGTACGCAGAGAGGCCTCAGGGACCTCAGATCTGCAGGAGAACTGGGGGGCCCTGGGCTGGTGGGCCTCAGCTCTGAGCAGCAGGGACAGTTGGGCTGGAGGTGGGGCTGCTGCTGGCCTGGGTGGCCCCATCTGTGTCTGGCACCCATAAATGTGTGCAGCGTGGCCTTTGCAGGCCTGCCTCCCCTTCTTTGTGGTGGGGCTGACAGCACCACGGCAGAGGGGTCCCCCCACTCATACCCCCACCTCAGGCTGGCTGTATGTTACATGTTCTGTGCACACACACCCAAACCCCTCCCACTTGCCCTACATGGGCATTCCCTTAAATGGGCTTTTCTTGCTGGGCTTTTTCTCAGACCATCCCCAGAAAATCTGGGGTTCATGCTAAGCCCCGCAAGTAGGATGAGGAGGTGGTCAGTGGAACAGTAGGGTAGGGACCAGGGCTTGAAGGGAACCCCTGAAGTCAAGGGGCTTCTCCAACAGCAAGAGGAGTCTCGGGGGTGGGCATGGGAGACTGCCATGGAGAGATGCTTCAGGGATCATTGCACCTGCTTGCACCTCCCCCCCACCCATGTCAATAGGCCCCTCTCTGAGGGGATCCCATGATGACCCTGCAAAGAGCCAGGCTGCTCATGAGGAAGTGGGTCCCCTTACCACCCATCCACATAACCCCCAGAGACCACTCCACTGTTTCCAGTCACTGTTGTGTTGACACGTGGTCTGTTAGCCACACCCTGTCTCTCTGTGAGGCCCACATCTTTCCCACCATCCACCAGACCCTCCAGCCTCTGAGAGGAAGGCCATCACAGTGGCTCGAAGTATCTATAGACATTACCCAACGAGGGAGGTGGAAAGGGGGGATGAAGGAGGGAGAACCGCATCAGCTAATGCTCGGGGGCCTGGAAATCCTTGGGTTTGAGAAATGGTGGGGACTTGACTGTACTGCACTTGTGTCCTCTTCGGAGGAGGGGAAGGAGAAGGGTGGGGCTGGAGCCAGGGTTGAGCAAGGGGCTCTGTCCTTCCAGCTATGTAGCACTCAAACCAGGTGGGGTGATGGTATAGTAACCATCTCAGGCCACTCAGGTCTCCATCGGTCTAGGATACAGAAATAAGGCCATCGAAACCAGGTGGCCTGCTGACTTCTGAGAGGATAGGGAGGTGGACAGCCCTTCAGGCCTCTGAATTCTTCAAGTCTGGAGTAACCTTGGCTGAGCCCTTGGTCCTGACCTGGAAGGACCAGCCTCAAGGAGACCCACCAGCCTGAGCCAAGCAGCTTTGAGAGGGGAGGATGGAATAAATGGTTTGGGGAACCTCTACCCATCTCCACCCTGGCCCAGGGAGGACTGCCAAGGTGCAGCCCGCTGGGGCCACCCTTTGTCGGGCAGAGCCTCCCCAACCTTCCCTCTATCAGCGAGTGGGTTTGAGCAGGTGGCCTCCTGGGGGCCTCCAGGTCTCCACTGAGATGCCCCCAGACCCACACTGATGTTGAAGCTGTGCTTGTCCCTCCCGTGGCCTCACTAAGATTAATGGTGGTAACACTGGGGTCTTTGTAGATGTTCATTGGTGCTGGCCAACTCCATGGTCAGGGAGGTCCCTGGGAGGGAGGGCCATTGGGGGACCATCCAGGAATCCCACACTTCCTTGAAAGGGGTGGGGGCAGGAACAATGCCACCCCCATCTCGGAGCAAACCCTAGAATCTCTAAAGAGCAAACATTGTGTTGACGCAGAATGGGGAATTCAGCCTCCCCCCAAGACTGGTCCCCTGGCTTTGGCCCTTGTTCCCTGGGCTCCTGAAGGATCTTCAGGGAAGTAGAATCAGAAGATGTGGAAGTTGGGAGTGTGATTGGAGGACCAGTCAGGACAGCAGCCTGGGTGTGACCTCTTGGGCTTCCCCTGCCACCCCGGGAGTGAGAGAGATGGGTAGATGGACCCATAGGTCACTGCCACCAGGTACTTAGAGTCCTCATCTCCCTCCTGATGAAATGTCGCCTGCTCCAATGGCCTGGTGCTGTGTGCACGCTAGGACTGCAGATGAGCAGAAGGCGCTTGGCACTCATCCAGGGCTCAGTGAGTCACTTGGCTCCCGGGCTGGGTGGTCCAAGAAGATGCAGATGCCCCGCCTGGTGTTGCTGGTTTGCAGCACCCTTCATCCCAGGTCTTCCTCTGTAGACGGTCTTGCCAGAAATTCAGAAAGGACAGGTCCAGGGATCCTTCTCTTACTTAGGCCTCATTTGTAGCGCTCAGCAATGAGGACGCGATTGTTTAGCGTCTATGGATCTGTATTTAGGGAAGAAGTGCAAGCGATGCACTGGGAGCCAATTGGAAGCGAGCAGGAAGGCCTGACTGACCGTGGATTCTGTCTTGGATTGCCAGGCTGTAGAGGTCAAACAAACCTGGGTGAAAACACCATTTCCACGAGTTCATCTCCCGAGTGGGTCTATTTGGAAACTATAAAACAAAATCTTTTAAAAAATGAACCACTTGATAATTCCGGTGATGTGTCAGTGAGAGAGAAGAATAGACAGGCTTCCGAATCCTGGGAAGAAGCTGCTTAATTATGTGAGCATCTCATAATGAAGTCTCGCTACTAAAATTAGATGTGGAAGGCATGAATATGTGATCATGTTTGCACACCGGTATGCATCCTTTCCCCCCTTAAGAGTAGCAGGAGCTGCTTCGTCTTTAGGGTCCCCCGAGAGGCAACCAGGGAAGTACTGAGGTTGATCTTGGAGCACAGGTTGGGTTTTTTTTAACCGGAACCCCCTTGGAGAAGTATGAGCAGGCCTGTTTCCAAAGTGGCTTATTTGGGTTTGGAGAGAAGCTGATTGGTCAGACTCTTCTGGGTCAACACTTGGTATGGGGTGAGTCAGACTGAATGAGGTAGGGAGCAGAGTGCAGGGGGCAACATGTAGGGCCGACAGAGGCTGACTGGGTGGTGGTGCCCACTTTGTGATCTTAGACAACCACTTTGCTCTGTCTAATCCCAGGTTCCCATCATTCACATGAAGGATGTCCTGGATACTGGTGAGTCCGTTCCCAGCATCCATTCCCCCGTCTCCATTCCCAGCAGCCCTGGTCATCTGTTTGAGGATTTATATGATCTAGGGGGCAAAGTCAAGACTGGAACACCTGGCCCCATCTCAGTCAGCACATTGCATTTCCCCAGAATAGTGATTGGTTCTGGCCTGAACATGTGATCTGAGCCTGCGCAGAGCATGCTGGGCAAAGAGGCTGGTGTTAATCCCCTTGCTAGATGTGAAAGAGGGTCTTGATGATGACCCATGACAAGGAGCCACTCTCAGTTTGAATCTCTGCCATTGAAGTCAAGAAGCAGAAAGCAACAGGCCCCTTGGTGGCATCATTTCATGACAAGATCTTATCTTTCTCACAGCTGGCTCTATCTCGCCATCTTTTTGGTTACAGGAGCCAATAAATCTCCCTTCTGGTTTAAACTAGTTTGAGTTGGATTTTCTGTTGCTTGCCATCCCGAGCATTGTGTAAATGGCTTGGAAGGCCCCTGGGGTGGGGGTGGGGGTGGGGGCTCAGACACTCTGTGTCCATGGCTGCTGTTGAAAAGCTTGAATCTCAGGCTAGCATGAGCAGCTGTGTCTTTCCTGGCAGAACTGGGAAGTTGCTACTTCCAGGCACACAGCTGGGTGTGAACTCTTCCAAGGGAAGTTGTGTTCAGTCAGGTAGGACAAATGGCATTTTTACGACATGGTGAGGTCACCCAGACATCCTTAGAAAAGATGCCTTTCTGGATGCTAGCCCAAGCCATCCGTTATCTCACTGAATCCTCAATCAACCCTTTGATGTGGCTATAGTTTTCTCTACCTGCGTTAGTCCAGGTAGACCAGAGAAATAAATCCAGCGAGACACTCATATGTGTGTAATAGGGAACTTTATAGCAAAGAGCAATTGTACATTAAGGAAACAGCCCAGCCCAGTCCAGACCAAGTCCATAAATCTGATATTAGCCCACATGTCTGATACCAATCTGTAAATTCCTCTTCCGACTCACGCAACACATGCAATGACACCGATGGTAGGAAGATCACAGGCCAGTGGGTGGAAAGTCTTGTGGATCCAGTGGTGGTGGAAGGATCTCAGCACTGGCATGGGTCTCCACATGGCTCCTCCAGCCCCAGGGCCCTGGCTCCATCAGTGTGTCTCCATGTGTCTTGTCAGGAGGAAGACGAAGCGGAGAGAGTGTGTCACTGGCCTCCAGGGAGTTACTCTTTTCCATTGCGCCTCTAAAATGAGATCATCAAGCTGCGACCTGGTTGACAGGCTAGACTCCACCCCCATAACCTATTTAACAAGTTGACCCGAAATTATGTAACCACCACACCACCTGGCAGGGAAGAGGACTGAGGCAGCCATGTGCAACGAGTGCAAAGTCTGATGCGCTTTGAATTCCCCAGAGCTCTCGTGGGGAAGATGCAAGGAAAGAATACTTCGGTGTGATACTTCAATTAGTATATCAGAGCCCCCACCTCCACCCCCACCCCAGGGGCCTTCCAAGGTGAGATCCCCTTCCAGGCATGTTTGAGTAGCAGTTGGTGACCAGTGTCCAGCATTCCTCACGTATCCACATGGTATGGTTAGTTTCCAAAGACCAGGCCATGATGGGAAAAATGAGCCTTATGCAAAAAATGGAGGATAACCACATCTGATGAGAAAATGGAGGATGATTATATCGTGACAGGATGGCCAAACTATTGAGAACTATGACCCAGCTACATGGACACATTGGCTGACCCATCATAGCCAGGGCTGCCCTCATTTCATACCTCGGTGTTGATTACTTCCAGATGCATCCCTTTAGTGAGGAAAATATTCAGGTAGCAGAGTTTCACTATTGTCATAATGGTGAGATGTTGGGTGATGTGATAGTCCCTAAGTGAGGAGTAAGTATATAAATTTCCTAGGGCTACCATAACAAAGCATCATGAACATTGAACCTTAAAACATAGAAATGTATTCCTTTTCATTCCAGAGTCCAAAACCACGGGGTTGGTTCTTTCTGGAGGTTTTGAGAGAGACTCCATTCCACCTTTCTCTCCCCTGGCTCCTGCGGTTTCCAGTATTCCAGTATTCCTTCGCTTGCAGACACGTTGCTCCAAGTTCTACCCTCATCTTCACTGGTTCCCTTCTGTGTCTCTCTCGCTCTTTATGTCTTTTATAAGGACATCAGTGATTCGATTTAGGACCCAACCTAATCCAAGACGATATCATCCCAAGTTTCCTACCTTAATTACATCTGCAAAGACTCTTATTCTAGATAAGGTCACATTCTGAGGTTCCAAGCGGACACAATTTAGCCCACTACAGAGAGTAAACTGCCTTCGAAAGAGGGTAGGTATGATTAACCACACAGCTTTGGGTTTGCTGAGTGGTTCATGCAGGTTTGGGGCAGAGTGGAATTGCTACCATTAGAAGAGAGGTGGAGCAGTGGTACTGAGAGTTCTCATCTAGCCTTCCCTCTATAATCCTTCTGTGTGAGGGAAAGACTAGGTATGTTAGTCTGGGTAGACCAGAGAAACAAATTCATAGACACTCCTATGTGTGTTATAGAGAACTTTATATCAAAGCGTAATTGTCTATTAAGAAAACACTCCAGCCCAGTCCAGATCAAGTCCATTAAGGCCAATATTAGCCCATATGTCCAATACCAATCTATAAATTCCTCTTCAGACACATGAAACACATACAATAATGCCGAATGCAGGAAGATCACAGACAAGTGGGTAGAAAGTCTAACGGATCCAATGGCAGTGGAAGGATCTCAGTGCTGGCAGGGGTCTCCATGTGGCTTCCCCAGCTCCTGGGCTCCAGGACAGCTCCGTGTGTCTTGTCCACAGGAATGTCTTGCAGGAAGTTGTTGATCTCCTTAGAGCCTCCAAATGAGGTCATCAAGGTGTGACCTGATTGACAGGCTAAACTCCACCCCTTCCCTCTTAATACTCAAATTGACAACAGATTATGGAACTACCGCACTGGGCTTTCTACTTCTGTAAAGAGTTATAGCCTGAGAAACCCACAGGGCAATTCTACCCTGCCCTATAGGGTGGCTGTGTATTGGAATCCTCTGGATGGCAGTGAGTTCGATCAAGTGTTATGCCAGTTGTATGTTTTCTTGTACATGGGATTGCTGTGAGTCAGAACTGGTTCAACAGCACCTGAGAACAACAAGTTCTTAACAAGTATAAGAGCAGCAAGTCCATGATACATGTGAGGTACAAGAGGAGATAGGGTATGTGTTCTTTATCTTCAAGGGAATGCCCCTCTCTTACCTGTCATGACAGAGCTTTGTACGATATGTAGAGCCAGTGGTCCCAGGCTTCCCAGGGCATCTAGGTAAGCCTACCCCTCCACAGTCGTCCCTGTGGTGACTGAACATGGATGTGGCCCAGGACTTCCAGAAAGTACTTCCACACGAACCCTGCAAAAATCCAGTCTCTGCCATGGGAACTGTGAGCCAATCCACCCTAGAAAACTGACAGAGTTACTGATAATTAAAAAAAGAGAGAAGATTCTTGACATTACAAATAAAAAACCGTTCTAGTTGATGCAGCCAGTGTCAGCATATGCTGAACACATGAACTCTCTCTCCGGAGTCTGTGGTGACAGCTCCGTGCCTTGAAGCTGGGGCGAGCTACAGGGAACAACGCCACATTTTGTTCTCACAAGTTGCCTGGCTCCAAAGATGTCAGTACATGTGCACACAAACAGCGTTCTTTCCATTTGGGGAGAGAGGAAAGGTGGGTTCCTGCGATCGAGTTGCCCAAATTTCAGCCCCTTTATTTTACAAGCAAGAGAAGGGATGGGCAGAGAGAGGAAGGGTCTCCTAGGAGGTCCTGTTGTGAGGACGAGGGGCAGGCTCTTTCCACTTCAATCGCTTGATTGTCCCTCTCCTGCTTCCATAGGACTCATCAGGAAGTGGCCACCCGGGAAGCACGTGTGCACATCCAGCTCCTTTAGAAGCAGCTTCGTTAATGCCGCTGCTAATCTGCCACCAAAGAAGTAGCCCTTTCAAAGGAGATGGACCATAACGTGCCATTCGATAGCAGGCCCGAGCCACCATTGTCCCAAGCAGCTGAAGGGTTTTGTAATCCAAGATCCTGATGGGCAAGTGCCTTTGGGGGCCCTGCGCCCACCTGTGTGTCTATGTTCACAAGCACAGGTGCGTGCAGGGGCTGTTGAAAGGCATCTTGCTCTGAGTCCCATGCCAACCATCCTGAAAATTACCAGTGAGCTTTGGCGTCAGCTTTGGCGTCAACTCACTTGACTAATTCTCCCTCCCTGAGTCAGAGCTACCACATGCGTGACATAGAATCTACTCCCTCTTTGGAAGGCATGTAGTGTGTGGTTGAGAGGAAGCCCAAGAAAGAGGAACAGTGATACTGGGCACAGGTCATTTCCCTCCTGCCCACCCTGTGCCAGTGTCTGTCAGAGCCACCTGACTCATCACTCACTCCCTCATTGCCATCGAGTCAATGCTGACCACTAGTGAGCTCAGAGGACCGGCTGGAACTGTCCCTGGGAGTTTCTGAGACTCTTAACTATTTACGGGAGTAGGAAGCCCCATCTTTCTCCCTGGGAGAGGCTAGTGGTTTTGAACTTCAGACCTTGTGGATCGCAGCCCAACCTGTAACTACTAGGCTACCAGGTCTCCCTTACCCGACCCGACTCTTGGCGATCCCATGTGTGTTAGAGTAGAGCTGGGCTTTCATGGTTGATAACTTGCAAGTGGGTTTCCAGGATTTTCTCCTGAAGTGACTCAAACTTCCAACCTCTCAGTTAGCAGCTAAATGTGAGCTGTGCCACCAACGGACGCCCAGCCGCAGCCTTCAGCCATCGAGGTTGCATCCTGGAACTCACACCTCTACAAGATCACCGGTATTGGTTTCCCACAAATCCCTGCCTCTTCTTTCTACTGAGAAGAAGGTTCCTGGGGCTCTAAATTCAGCTCAGCAGGACACGGACAAGGCAGGACAACTCTGGCCAGACCTCCTAATGGGATGACCCACTTTATGGGCCCACCCAAGTCACGAGGCCTCTCTGTCTCCCGTGAAACTTGCTCTCAAAATCACCCATCAGTCCCCCCGCTCCCCCCAGGCATCCCCTACTCCATGGCCACATTAACCTCCATCAGATAATGAAGGGCTTGGCTTGCCAAGAGAGACCTTAAATGTCACCTCTCTGCCTCCCAATACGTCTTTGAATGGCACCGGCTCTAATGAGATGTTCAAATATAGAAAACAGAACGACTCCTCGCCCTCGTTCTGCCATTTATTCAACCAGAGTGATCCGACTGCACCACTACATTACTTATCATTTCCACCTGACCTTGGGGGGTGGCGTGTAATCTTTAAGGAAACTATCCATTTAATCTCCCCTTGCCTTATTAACATTTAATTACCACGACACGTTTCCAGTTGTACAAAGG